ACTCCCCCCACCTCCCACACACGCGCGCGTTGAGATCGTATTTTTAGAGTCGACACCATCTTCCCTCTTCCCCTATCACAAATTTCAATTTATATCTGCCTTTTTTTTATTTGCCGCAATTTTTTGTTGCCTAATTTTGTGCTTCTCGAGCAAATTGTTGGAGCGAAAAAAAAGTGTTTTCTTTTTTAGTTCATTTCGAGCTCTCTTGTGTGCATGTCCATTTCAGTGAGACGATAGAAACCTTTTGGTTTGCCAACATAGACATTTAAGTAGTATTTATTAACTTCTCTCCTTTCCGTGGATTTAATTACCACTTTCCAGTCGGTGAATCTCAGATTGCTACTAGTTTAATTAGTGTTTAAATTGTGTAATCACTCTATTCAAATTTGCCTTGAAAAACATGTGTGTATCGGTAGAGGAGTCATGATAACTAGTTTTTGTGTGGAATTACTTCAAGCTACTTATTTTCGAATAAAGTAGTATATTACTTCACCTCTCGCTTCTAGATCCCATCAGCTCCAATTTACCAATCGCATCAAACCACTCCAGCTCGGAACCCCTACTTCCAGGCCGCCTGGAACGCTTGGATGCACCAATCAGGTTCATCCATTCCTCCTGTCCCCCCACACCCAATGACCACCACTTCTTCCACCAATTCCGTGCATCCGGGACCCGAAGATGTGGAACACATCTGCAGACTCTTTGATGCAACCGCGGTTGCAAACCCGCCACACAGGCCACTCCAACAATGCGAGCGAGAAGTTCTAGTTGGAGGTATGTTGTTTGGGCCACTCGATACTACTCAAATGCCTATCAGTCATCACCACTAGTTACTTTTATTGCAGAAACTACATTTTAATTCATTTGTGCGTTTTTGGTCGTATTACATGAATGAATGTTGGGACCTTTAGATTTCTATATTATTATTATTATTATTATTATTATTATTTCAAATGGCAGGCGTTTTGAATAGTTATCATTAGCCATTTAGCTGACTTCGGGCTTCACAGAGGGAGGAACATCAAAGTGGGAAAAATTCGAGAGGGGGAACAGAAGAGTGATTCACAGATGTAGACACACAAGGGTAGAGAATTGGTGAGGTGTGTACTGTGGAAGTGGTGGAATATGACATACAGTGGGGTGATGGTAGTTTGAAGTCAGAAGCCAACTGCCGGTTTGATAGAATTTTTTGCCGTACGAGTATGCGTTGCCCAGGGTGCACCACGTGGAGACAGCTCTATCGCACACCCCGGTTTTGCTAATACAGAGATTTCTATGCATTTGTTTATCAGTAACCTCTCTTAATTATTAAAGTTGAATTTTGTCGGGAACACTTAGCAATTGCTGTGCTCTTTGTTCTGTTTTTTTCCTCTATAACACACCATTTATGTGATTATTGACGTCTTTTTTTAGCTACGACTCCCTCGAATCCGTTCCTCACTCCCCAGTCCTCCGTCCCCTCTGATCCCGTGAGTTCCTCTCCCACTCTTTCCTCATGTGCGTGCGTGCGTGCGTGCGTGTGTGCGTGCATGCGCGTGTGTGTGTGTGTATGAATCTTTTACACTCTCTGTAACAACCTTTTTGACTTTACTTTTCACTTTATTTTGTAGCACCGATAAATCTCCGGATTGTATTTACCACATTTTTGTCTACTTTCCTTGCTCTTGCTCTAATTGCCTATTTGTTTTTTTTTATGATTTCTCATTTTTGCACATTGAGATTGTTTGCAATTGACAATAGAAGTTTTAATTAACACCGGCCCCTATTTTTCCTGTGGTGATTCTAATTGAATGCCTTGACCTTCCTTTTGAGATCTGAAGTCCTCGAGTCTTGTAAAAAGGAGGGGATTCAGTGAATTTGTGAAATAAATGCTTCTCTCCTCAATGCCGTGAATGGCCTATTCATGCGGCTCGAGACACGATGACCAAGAGATTTGGAAGCAATTTGTACGCGTAGAAAGTCAACCTGTTGTGCAGAATTGTATAATAACGCAGAGTTTGTAAGAGTTAAGGACGTCCCAAACCTCGTATTAGTGGGAATATTCGCGATAGATCACTTTGGCTCCATCTCTCGACGTCTGGCTTAGGAGAAAACCGCTTCAATCATCAACTGCTTGATCTCATGAAATGGGAATTGGGACATGTATAGAGCGAAAGATTTGATTAAGTCTTAAAATGCTCAACTGGAAAAAGTGCTCTGTGATTGGCTGTTAAAAATAGCGACTGCATAATCTCATTAATGTTACTGCTAACAAGTTAACCTTGCATCTAACAATAGATTGTATTCCTACTTGCAGGTTATGTAAAGAGCACCTTCAGATGAGTAAGAATCACTCATGAGAGTTGGTGCTGGTAGACCAACAATTACATCCCACCCCCTCTCCCAGCCCCCTAATTAGTCGCCTTATTTTGTTGAATTTGCTTTAATACGTGCGCAACACCTCACATTGGTGGTCTGGATCAGCTTCCCCCCTCCCCCCTTCCTACTCCCCCCCTCCCCACTCTCTATTTCAGATTTCAGACCATGTCGGCTTCCCAAATTCATGGCCTCTTCTCCCCTCGTCATTCCTTTGATGTCATTAGTTATAAACAATGTGGGCGCTATATCAGTTGGATAAATTTGCACTCGCTGTCAATGGCAAATCGTCATCTGACTAGCCAAATTTCAATATTCCCCTTTTCCTTTCAATTGCATTTATTTAAACAAAAAACACATCTTAATAACAATGTTGTTTCTCCAGTAAAAGATAGGTCTATGTGACTTCTAATGCCAATTAATAAACCAGTGGGGAAGACTGTCACAGCTTAAGCGCAAACTAAAAACGCGAAAATGAACAAAATTTTTAATTTTTTGAAATGTTTTTTTCCTCCATATTTCCAGCAATCTTCACGATCGTTCGACTTCCAACGCGCCTCCCGTAAGTGTACACTCCTCTTTACTTTCCAATTTTTCCACTCCCTCACTTATAAGCCATTGATTTTTCGAAAAATTTGTGCATTGTTTAAAGCAGTTGTTTTCCATTTACAAGATTTGCCCGGTTCATTTAACTTCACGGCATACAGCACGACAATTTTCGATAATTCCGAAGTGGAGATGGTGGCTAAGAGACTTCCAGGTGGATGTACCCTTGCAGAAGCCCGTGAGGCTCTCAACTGTGCCATCAATTCACCAACTGCGCGAGACATCATTCACCTCCACACTCCTCCTCCACTTGCAGACGTTTTAGCTCCTGGAGCACGTGACTGGCGGGTCAAGGTCGCTTTGCGTCTTCTCCTCTTGCGCCGATTGGTGCGCCTACAACTTTGCACTGACCTTGAAACCTGCTGGTCCGCCTTGGAGAAGGCTGATTGGTCGGTGGAGAAAGCTGTGGACTTTCTCATTTACGGTTGATTGGCCCTGTTTCTACCTCTGATGTATCACCCCTTTGCTTTCTCCAAATCACCCCCCTCCCGCCTCTAATATGAATTATGAATTGTGAGAGATTTTACTCGTCTTTTGCTCCTTTTCCTATTTGCACTTCGTATAAATATACTGAGGTAATCATTCTACTTCTGCATCTTCTTTGTTCCATTGAGTAGCTGCGTCGGAAACTATTTTTTTCTCTGATGTGGTCTTCTACTTTGATCCATTGCTATTCCTATTAGTGGAGTGCGTGCTTATTAAAGTCATCCACGTGATTTTGGTAGAATTGTCTTCTAAAGTACGCGTAGCTTCGCCTCTATTTAAAACACTACGAAAAAGACAATGACACTCAGTACCAGATCAAGAGATGTGGATGCACCATTTGGGGTAGCCCTTTTGAGAAGACACAGTGTGGCAGACAGATGTGCGAGGTCAGTGCTCATTGGTGCGCATCTGGTGATGCGGGTGACCAACTGCCTTAATAAGAGGGTGAAGGATTGTAAACTTCTCATTGCTAACACTTGCCACAACAGACTTCCGAAGTCGAATGCCCTTAATTATGCTGAAGTTGATGTCAAATAATTGTTTAACCTAATGTGAGTCAGCTATTTACAGTGACCTTAAGGCATTCATTTAGGTTTGCCAATCAATTGCCCTCCTCCATTGTCTAACTCCTCATTTTTGAGATTTTATTCACTTTCCAATGATTTGACGTTTTTCCTGTCTCGATTCCTCCCCTCTCGCCACTTGACTTGCGCCAATGTGACCTGGTGCTTCGAAGGCCGACGGTTTATTGGTGTTTAACCTTTCGTCGATGTGTGCATTCTGCCGAAATAGGACTAGCCGCTGTAAAGCAAATTTTCTTGCCAACGATAAGGATAGCACTTTCCACCTGGGAACAAAGCTTCTCCCCAATCAGACATCCAATTAAGCTATTGAAGTGCCGCATGCAATTTGAAATTTACTTATATCAAATAGCAGGCGTCTTGATGGTTGTCATTATCCCTTTAGTTGACTTCAGCTTCATAGAGAGGAGGGGGAACATCAAAGTGACAAAAAGTCGAGATGGTGGGGAGGGGGGAACAGAAGAGTGATTCAAAGACAAAGGTAGAAAAAATCCGAGGTGAGTACTGTGAAAGTAGACGAATATGACATACAGTGGGGTCATAATAGTTTGAAGAGAGAAGTCAACTGCCGGTTAATAGACTTTTTGCCGTATGAGTATACGCTGCCCAGGGTGCACCACGTGGAGGTAAGTCTATCGATTTTTGTTTATTTCACTTTCGGGCTTTTACCTTATCTCAAATTCTTCTTTTTCCCAATCCACCGAATATTCGGGCACCTATTTTTAGATCAGTTAGAATGCCCCGAGTAGTGTAATTTTGAGGAAGACACGAGGGGAATTTGGTCTTTTTAAAACGTCGCCAATTTTATCGTCATTCTTTCCCCACCGAGAATGGCATTCCCCCCCCCCCCCCTCCTCGGCCCCCCGCCCCCAAAATAAACTTCTTCCATCCAATGGAGAATTCCATCGCTGATTAGAAATGTCCACACGGGTTGTCACCACGACCATTTAAAATCTCCACTTGCACTTAGAATTAAAACTTCTATTTGCACTTCGGGGTGTGCGATAGGCTTACCTTCACGTGGTGCACCATGGGCAAAAAAGTCTATCAAACCGGTAGTTGACTTCTCACTTCAAACTACCATCACTCCACTTCTTTCACAGTACCCACCTCACCTTTTCTATGCCTTTGTGTATGTCTGCCTCTTTTACATCTTTGAAACACTCTTCTCTTCCCNCCCCCCCCCCCTCTCAACTTTTTTCACTTTGATTTTCCTTCCTCTCTGTGAAGCCTGAAGTCAAATAAAGAGCTAATGATAACTATCATAACGCCTGCCATTTGATATAAATAAATCTATTTGCACTTCTGTTGTGTGATTAATTTATTTTTTTAATTTTTTAAAATTTTGATGCGACCTCTAGATTTCTACATGCCTAAAAGTGTGTATGACCTTTCGGTAACGTGGCTAGAGGCATTTGAAGATGATCGAAGATTTTACTAACATTTCGTCAAAGGCTGCTCATATTGGCACGGAATCAAATGGAAATTGGGCCTTTGAAAGAAGTTGGGTTGCTGTGGGAGCACCTAAAATCACCATACTTGAATTTTGCACATAACGATGAGAAAAGTCTCAGGAAAACTATTCACTGACCTGACGATTCTTGACGTTATCTTCGCTTTCCGCACTTGAAGTATAGTTGTTCCCTCATGTGTGAAACTAATGAAATATTTTTGTCCTTGGAGCAAAGAATGACAGCTATGAAATAGTTCAAGCCATATTCCTCCAGTTAGTGGATATACCATAATTTGGTTTTTCAATGCACCTTTCTCCTTCCTCCTCTGTAATCAACGCATGTTACGTCAATCACTGCCCTCTCCCCCCCCCCTCCCCCACCGCTCCCCCACAACTCTTTAATTCAGAGTTACAACTGGGGGGTGGGGACGGCGATACAAAACTGTCACAATGATCTCTAAAATTTGAAGGATTTGAGGTCATTTAATTACGTTATAGCTTAGTTTTAACTGTGATTTTTATGTAAGATTTCTATTTTATCAAAGGAGGAAATTAGCATCCCATAGGTGCCCACTTTTTGTAACCCAATTCCTCATTGTCGGCGGAGTTTTTGAAAAGTGCACCAAAGGTGACACCACCCCCTTCATTTCACATTGTCCACCCCCTCACCCCTTTCAACTCATTTTCTCCACGGAGGAAGAAGCTTCTTAAACTTCAGACTTGGGTGTGTGGCAACTTTTATCTCGAGGCGTAAGAATCGCACCCTCCTCATTTTCGTTTGTTTTCGACACGGAGCCTCGTCTCTCTTTATTCGGTTGGGTTAATGTCAACTCCTCTCTTCCATGGCTCTTACGCAGGTGCCCATGAAAGGTTAATTTTGAGCTCATAAAACAAAATTTTGCTTCGCTTCATCATTCCCATCAAATATTGATTAATTTTTTTGAATTTATGCTTAATGCAGGCTATTATAGGTTTTTTTGGCACCTTTCGGGCAAGTTGCCATTTGTCTTTTATATGAAAATTGTGGTTAATCATTAATTTGCGCCTTTTTATCCAGTGATTTTGAAATAAACGTGTAGTTTTGACCTCTTTTAGAATTGAGCGGTGTTAATATTACCAAGGTCATTGGATGCTGTTCATGGGCTGTGCCACCAACACATCGATTGCGTTCACACCTCAACGAGAAAACGAAGCTGAAATCGGCGAATACTTGGGTTCCTGGATCAAGTGAAAACGAATTAAGAGAGTAAAGCTAATCATCATCATCATCATCTCTAAAGGATTTTTTTGTATGGCGACAACAGAGAAATAAGGGCAAACTACTTGCTTAGAGGCTATTGTTGTTGGTAAAGTTGGTGGAGAGCCTATTTAATCGATGAACTCCATTTTATGATCATTGATCTCAAAGTAATTTGCTTATTAATCTTTCATTAGTTTTTAAAATTAATTTTTTTCCCCTCCAAAGTCAACTCGCAGTTAAATTATTCCAACTTGTACGCATAGAAAAAAAATTGTATAATTTATAAGGACATTTAAAATTTTGCGCAGTTGGACAAATTCTTAAAATAGTCCCCTGATGGTGTGTTCTCACAGTTATGATAAAAAAATGCTTTCTCCCAACAGGAAAGATTTGGCTTGCATTGTGGCCATTTGATTTAATTCACTTTTCCCAAAATTCTCTGCGTTTTTTTTTAGTAAGAAAATGTCATTATGGTAAAGAAGCTCGTAACATAGGCCTTCATTTTGTGATAATTATAGTAAATTTTAGATGAGAAATTAAATTATATTACGCCTTCCACGTTGAAACAGAGTTACTTTGGCTTTGAAGAAAATTTGAGGATCATATCAGAAGACCTGCAATTATTATAAAGGTGTGAAAATCCATCTTCTCTGGAATTCTATGAACCTAAAATCATCGGGAATTCCCTCCATCACCCCAAAAATAGCTAGGCCTGCTTTTGAAACTTCAGTAAAGCACCTCTAAGTGGTCTTTGGCTTATCGAGTTAGTGTAGGAACGCACATAAATTGAAGAAAATTTTCTCTCTAAAATCCATACTTCAACCTTGTTCTTTTAACCCAGTGATTCCACGGGATTCCACTGGTAATACACTTTTCGACAATGTAGATCTTTTTGCTACGCGGAGGGTACATCTACTATGAATGCCTCTCATTTTGCCTCCAAATGAAATAGTTTACTGCTGCTTAATATGCCATGGAAATCCTAGTCCATGCAAACATAGGAATGCCAAATCGCAATGCTAAACACATTGACAAGGTACTTTGCGCTAGCTGAATTAAAGCATCGAGGCTGAAGATCAAAATTTCTGCCACGTTTCCAATGCAGAACTTATTTGATTTCGCTCATTCGGGTGGATCCCTTCATTTGTTAGCTTTGAAAATATTGCTACTTATTACTTAGTAGTAGCACAATTTAAATAGCCGATTATATTGGAATTAGCGTAGAAATATAGCCCAACTCCAGTTCAGGTTGCTTTTCTCTATGCAATTCAAAGTGACATTTTGTATAATCTTTAAGAATAAGACTCCTCAGGCGCGTCTTAATTTCGATGCTTACACTACTCGAAATGTGTGCTTGTTTACATTGTTTCGTAGCAATAAAGTAAAATTTTCCTTAATATACATATGTAGAGAATGGTATTTAGCTAAATAAGAAATAGGTATATATTCCATGAACGTCTTATTGAATTTTATCAATTAATCTTTTTTTCTTTTTCAATGTTCCTTCTCGGACACACATCTATTCGATGGGGTCAGTGAGGTGGCTAAGATCTAACGATTGCATTATTTGTAAAAGCCAGCAGACTTGTTGAGGGTACACGATCACGCACAGAGTAGTGAGCCAGTTTAGAGCTTACAGTTAGTTAAGTAGTTTTGGCAGCCTCGTGTGTTTGGTAAGTAGCTGCGTAAGTTTATAAGAAATTATGTGCATATAAGGGGCGGCCGATAGACTTGCCTCCATGTGATGCACCCTGGGCAACGTATACTCATACAGCAAAAAGTCTATAAACCGGCAGTTCACTTTTGACTTCAAACTACCATGACCCCACTGTATGCCATATTCGACTCCTTGCACAGTACTCACCTCACCTTTTTTCTACCTTTATGTCTGTCTCTTTTGCATCTGTGAATCACTCTTCTGTTTCAACTCTCAACTTGTTGTGGCTTTGATGTTCCTCCTCTGATTGAAGCCCGAAGTCAGCTAAAGGACTAATGATAACTATCGAAACGCCTGCCATTCGGAATAAATAATTCTTTTCCTCATACAATGGTTGGGCATTTTAGGAAGCAAGACTAATGCATTTGCGATCAGAACTTTATTGATTTATTTAGAGCAGATGGTGAGGCGATAGTAGAAATCCGCTTTAGCGAGCTGCTCAAAGGAGTCGATCAAAATGTCTTCACTTTTATATCATCGTTCGGAAAAAAAATTAATCCTAATCAAGACTCATTTTTGTTGAGTAGGCATCAGGCGATTTAGAGAACGAATTCATTTAAAATAGTACGCAGATTTGCGAGAAATAAGCTAGGCACGGTCGATTGGAATTTAATCCCGAATCACTTAGTTGGCTGGCATCATGGGTCCAGATGTTGTCAGGTCACCGATAAAGGATGCACTGGATTATAGTGAAAAATAGCCAAAAAACAGTCTTGACAACCACGTTCAATTATTTACCATTCCTGAATGAACTCTAAAGGGGCTTCGACTAAAATCCGTCATTAAAATGCGGGCTGAAATAGATAGGGCACTCAAAATGCTGAGGTGGTTGTCAGATAGGCATTCGAATAATCCACTAGTTGAATACAAAGACGACAGAGGGAAGGCGTGGATTATGTGCGTGAGTGCGTGAATGAAATGAGAAGGTATTAACTAATCAATAATCTCAAAAGTAGAGTTGCAGAAGAGGTTAAGGCAATAAATCTCTGTCGAAAATCCCCCCCCCCCCACACACACATAAACCATAGTTGAACTTAGGTCAAATATGGCGTCGGTTAAGTCACATATTGAAAGCGGTATTTTCCGACTATGTTCGTTACACATGAGGGAAAATCAGAAGTTTCGTTTCTCAAGCTCTGAATTATCGTTTCAATTGAATTTCCACCTTCTTCCTTGAATTTGCGAAGAAAGCCCATGTACAATTATTGGCTAATCAGGTAGCCAATCATTTATCATGCATTCAAATTTTATTAAAGCCCGCTCTTTGGGCTAAAAGTCTTCGGTATCCCCATGCCTTAAGTCTGAGCAGATGCGGCTTCGGTGAAAGCCAACCGAGGCATTATGAATACGTACTAAATTGTGCTATATAAGTAGTAGGTGCTAAAGATTGGCGCGTCTTTGCACACCAATCGGTTGGAAGGCTTAATCACACATTGGGAGACTCAATGCTGCCATTCACAAATCCAATAAAAGCTTTCGGAAACGCTTTCCTAAATTGACTCATAAATTAATTTATTAATTTTTTTAAATGACAGAGTAATTAATAAGGCAGTCATTTCCAGGTTTTTACCTGTTCTTTGCCTTCAATGGCTATCCATGTCGAGCGCACTATGATGTTCTCCTTTTAATAACAATTTGAAGAGGATTACTATCATGCATTATTTCCACAATTAACTACTATATATCAAAATTAGGAAAACAAAGATTTTACGGAGCCAGATCTGAATTATCATAATATAACGCCAAAATATGTAATTATAGGGGGGGGGGGTTTGGAGATTAGAAAGGAAATAGAAGTCAAAGCTGATTTTTAAATCCTAGTGTCAACATTTTCGGCCTTTATTATTTACCAAATAATGAAATCTCGATCATAGCTGTGTAGGAAAAATCAATTAATCAATCGAGGGTTTGCCAACAAAATTGGGAGATATACAACATATTCTGACTTTCAGCAATTTCTACTCCTTCTTCTTCTTCTCTCAAGAATCCCAGTTGAATGTATTTTCGCACTGGCTGTTGAAATCATCTCTTGAACTCCACCATATCTGATTGCTTTGAGACCAATTTCACGCGCCCCTTCTTTTGTCCATCAGAAGTCCAATTGACATGAACAGGTCTTGAGCTTGTACCAACTGGCCACTTAGCTCTGAGCTCAGTGACACACTTGACAACGTAGTAGTTCTAGAACTCGAAAACCTATGACACAGGTCTCTCATTATTCAACCCTCATTTGATCCTCTTGTGTTATTTCGTGCGTTCAGTTGCTACCACTCATGATTCACTCTTCTAAATCTGCTTTTCTCATAACCATGGGTAGCAATAATTAAACAATTACACAAAGTAGCAACACATAGGTATAATCGAAATATCAATTTTCATAAGCATGCTGAAATTTTAGGGATATTGAGTACAACTAGGAGCTTGTGTCTAACAAAAAAAACAAAATTTTATTTCAAATTTAAACTTATGAAGTCTGCTCCATTTAAGGATGACGCTTCATAGTGAACAGATTAAACAGATTTGAAGGGAGAATTGCACTCAGAGGTCACTGATTTGATAACTATAAAAGTATGCTCAAAATTTGCTAAGAAGTGCACGACTATCATACGAGAGCAGAGCTAAATAAAAAAACAACAATTTCTTTAAGTTAGATTTGGCACTTAGGACTTATCGAGACACTGTACAATTCGGGCAGATAATATGCACATTAGAAAAATCCCCAATTCATCAAATGTCTAAATAATGAGTTTATTGAAAAGTTCCATAAAAAAGGGGAGGGGGAGGGGGGGGGGGAGATAAAACTGTAACTCCAAATACGTGCGAATATAAAAACCAGCGATTTAGTCGACCGAGATCCTTCTACGATTCGGCAGGCGCAGGGGCCAACAATCCTCAAGGAGTACTTTGATGAGACTAGAATAGCGGTGGTGTTCATCTTCACGAGGCAACTTATTTTCCATAATAATGAAATGTTGAAGTTTCGCTTCAAATGACCGAGTGTAGATTAATTGAACACCCGTTCGTGCGGCAGTGGAACATACCATGGGATAATATGCATTACCTTTGAGGGTTCTATTACAGTGACAATCATAAATAATTAAACAGTAGAACTTACATTGGACGGCCAGAGAGCTCACGATTAACAAAAAAATAGAGTTTTCTATGAAACATATCCAAAAGACAACCAACCACGCTTCTGTTTGAGAATTCTTTCACATGTTTGTAGTCGAATGAGCCCTTATATTGAATGCCGCCCGTGTATGAATGACCACAGGAATGGCCATCAGCACCAAGAAAACTACTGTACTTGCATTCTGAGCCTTCTAGACATAGATCTTTTTCGCCTACGCCGATCATCTAGAAAATAATGAGAGTTAAGAGAAATTACCACATCGGTTCCGTAGAGAGGAGTAATAACTCTAATTTCCCAATAATGTATTCCTGAAGTAAAAAGCTCTGTACCCCTCACAACTGATGTGCCATTAGAAGATTTGGGATGAAATATTATTGTTTTATCGTCCTTAAACAGGCACAGTTCCGGAGTTGTACATTGGGAATCCCAGACCCACTCGGACTCTGTGTAAGAAGTTTAAAATAAAATCTAGAATACTTACTCATATTTTTGCATTTGCAGGAAAAAATTGAATCATTTTTATCATTATTAAAACCACAGATCCCGCATTCCTCCTGCATTATAGAAGCTAAAGGGATTCGAAATCACTGGTCTGATAGGGATAATATTCTGAAACATGTATTGGTCTATTTAAAGCAGTTTCTTTAAGTCTTGAGGATTTAAATTTTATAATATTCAAAATCACTTATTGAGCTATTTTGGAGCAAATTATAATATTTAACGATTATTTACATATTACAAGGAAATGTGTAAATACATTTTACTTGAAAATTTCTCTATGAAATTTTGTATATTCAAGTCATTCAGCTTCTAAAAAAATGTCCTTACTTTTCAATAATTTACTTAGGTGATCTATGAGGAAACTAATTCTAGCAATAATCAACTTTTTGTATAATATTCTCAAATCCCAAAATTCAGGCGACTCTACAGTAACGAAACATGCGGTTATTGTAAACGCCCGATTATAGTACGATGATCAATAAGTATAGTGACCGCTATTATAATTTTTAAATTTTATCATTTAACTAATCGTATTAAGTGTTATACTTATTTTCTTTAATCAAATGTCCTAATGACGTAGATCTGTCTCTTCAGTATAATCTGTAGGTGAAGCTACACAAGTGAAAATTTGAAAAATCTTGCTATTGCCCTTAAAATTTTATGTTTTAATGAGCGAACCCACGTCACTGGTAACTTGTTTAAATCAAGGTAACAACGCATTGTTAGAAAAATTGAACCATATTGATACATACTCAAATTGGTAAATGCACTGACAACAAAGTACAGGGGCTTTTAAAAAGGGCGATTATATGGGTGGGTGGTTATTTGGTTCAAAAAGTAGTTGAATGAAATGGAATTTTCTGTTTAAACGCCATGGTCGGATTTTCGGAAAACTAATACAGTTCCTTTGGTACTTGATTAATTTACTCCTGTTTTTGTAATATCAAAGAATAGGATATCCTAAATGTTATATTTCTGGTTAACCAGGCATTCTAATTATTACGTTTCGTTCTTACATGGCAAGAAGTTAATAGTGAAGCTTTGAATCTCCAACTCTGAGAATTCTTTGTCATTCTTCAGTTGCCTACTAAGAAAATTTAAACGACTTCTTATCGATATAATTGCCCAAATTAATGAGGTATCGATAATTAAATATTGTTTTACTTTGAGCTTTCTATAGTATATATTCAAATATTATTTTAGTTTTCAGTTGGCAACTTAAAATTATGTGAACTTACTTAAAGTTGCTGTCGTCTAATCGGCCGTATATCAAAAGTCATGAGTTGCTGGTTCCCCGTTTTTTAATAGCGAAAATATACAGTATTTTTACCAAGCAAGCAATCGGCTTTGCAGAATTTATTTTTTTCGTAGCTGAATTAATTAGTATGTTTAAGATTGAATTAATTTGGCTCGAGGTAGAAATAAAAAATGCTCAATGGTATATAATAGTCGAAAGTATTTTTGATTTTGTGGAGTTTCATGTTTCTTAAGTTAAAATATATTAGAACATGAAGTAAAACTGGATGCGAAATGTGGCACACATTTGAGAATATTTTCCAGAACATTACATTCTCGAATCAGAGCATTATGCAATCTATATTCTCTTATCTCCTTGGAATGTTTTTTTTAAAATAAACCGAAAATTCACTTGAGATTAAAAAACTACGTTATATAATGATCATATTCTTTTCGAATTGAAAAAAAAACAAATTTCGTTCCTAATATCATGCCTGGCATTTATTCAATTATGCAAAGCTGTATTCGAAAATCTATGCCCTGTGCAGGGAAATAAATTAGAAATCGATATTTTGCAGGTGGATTAATATCTGAAGACTGAAGTAGTGTCTCGTTGAGTATGTTCAATAACGCTTCACTTTCATAACCTACTAAACGATATTATATTATATTTTGTTGAAAAAAAGTTTTAATATTGTGCAATACGCCATTATTAATTATCATTTTTGTCTCTTAACTTTCTAACTAAGAAAAAATATGAGTGTATTTGAAGAACCCCTGCCAAATTACAGTACGCAGATTACATCAAATTGTCAAGAAATAGTGATCCCACTACGAGAAGTGACCTACTATGAAAAGCGCGATGAAAAGGGTGAAGATGGCATTGAACTCTCTATTGCCTTCTCCGAAAATCCCTTGAAGCACATCCCTCCAGAATTCAATGGTCAATTTCGAGAGATAATGACTAATAGTTCATGGGATTGGGAATCGAAGAGATTCGTTGTGCATCTTCCCAAGCAAACGGAAATGAGTATTGAGGGATTTCTAAAGAAGGTGAATGCTGCTTTACAGAATATGATGACAGATGGAGGAAAGAGCGAGGAAAATATGGCAGATGACGATGCTATTAAAATTTAATCGTTTATTTTGGTAAATATAATTTAAAGTTTCCTATTAACTTCATATTATATATATATAAATTAGATTCATATTCGGATTATTTTATGAAGTTTAATCGTGGACTTTCTGTTTATCTCTTGGAACATATTTTTCATTGGTGATGGTGCTATGCCATCCATTATATCATTGTGTAAGTTTGATGAAATTAATTACCAGCCACTAGGGCATAAAATATATTTCAAGGTAGACATTCTTTTGTTTATGCGACATTATTAGTACTATGATATTTTAAAATGGCATTATATATATTGGAATATATATTCAAAAATATAGGAGGGTCAAAATTAATAAAGTGTCGGGCAGAAAAAGATAGTTATTTTTAAATGTTTTTAGAATATATATGATGTTTAAGTATATGGCTAAGGAATTGATATAAGATTGGTAATCTCAATTTGAAATCAAATCTACGATATCTCATTTGGATGCTTCTTTACCACAATGAATGTCAATCCCAAGTAAGCATTCCTTCCTATTGCTGGATAGGATAAACACATACAAACGACTGGAGATCAGGATCGATAAGACGTCGTAGAATTGGTTCACGCAGGTCAATTTCAAAATTCGAAATCGACGAATGATCATTGAGTGCAATAAAAAAATAAAATAGGTTTCAAGACGTTTTAGAACTTTTCTAAAGAAATGATGCCTACTGATTCCCTCTATGTGACTTCTTCTCAAAATACAGCAATAATTATTTCACACCCATTAAAACAAATATTAGGTAGCAAGAAACAAATTGCTTTAAAAAAAGCATATAAACTCAAGCCAACGCCGAATTAAAAATCTAACAGCGTAGCCAATGAGACAAGATCAATACCTATCATATGCGTTATACTTAAATATAATTCTATGGTTTCACATGACGTTCCTGAACAGGAAGTTATAAAAAAATGCAAATTAATAGCAAAGACAAAATCTCATATCCTGACTAATTTAATTAAATGGCCAAGTTACATCTGAGGTGTTAAAATGCCAATCCTATCCTTCGTCTCTATTCTGCTGACTTTACTGTCGTCATTTAGCAAATTCTTTTGAAGAGATGCTGACATTAAATGACGAATATATGGTAAAGAAACAGGAAAAAATCAGAATGCTGTACAATTAAAATTTCTTGATAAGTCTCTAATCTGGAATCAAATAAAGTTGTTTAATTTCCATCAAAATATTACCTGACTTCACCTGAGCTGATAGATTTAAGACACCAGAATGAGAAAAAAATGAGGTATTCTGATTTAAGCTATCTTTAGAGTCATTCAAGAAGTAAATATGAGTTTACTCGGACATTTATTTTGTACTCATAACTCGAGCCTTGATATGCAGGAGACTATTCACTGGCTTCTTGCAATCAATTGCATCTACAAATATACATAAATTTAAGTTGAAATTACTCAAACACAAAATTTGAAATATATTTTAATAAGGAAAGCAAAGCCAGGAATAGGCTAAGATTGCGATAAGTTAAATAAGAACGGTTGGTAAATTAACCAGGTTAAAAGAATCTAATGGAAAATAAATGACCAGTGCTGATGGGGAAATATTTAATATAATGAGTGTTCTTTCTCTGAATAATGAAACGTAGAAATCGACAGAAGATCTATTAAAACAATTCAATGCATTGACCAGTAAGCAAGTACGTATGTTAAAGCTTGCAAGTGGCAACACAGCCACTCAAAGATTAACATTGGTGCATCATTTTTTGGGCCCAAATTTTTTTCCGAATTCTCTCTTCATGGCACCTTCTGTGTGCTCACAGCACACGTATGAAAGCGAATCTAGGGATTTATCATATAATAGAGGACTCCAATAGGGTGTGAGGCTTAAAAACCTCAAAAAAGATTAATCAGACTATGCTTAAACGCGCAGTCCCCAACCCTACATCTATAGCGGATCAATAGTTTACTGGAAAGATAAATTTCCCATATGAAATTCTGAGTAAAAATTTTTGTAAAGTACCAAATTTCTGCAGTTGGCATGAATTGAAATTATATGATATTGGTATGTTTATTGAATATGAACTAAAGAGCCCAAAACTATAGATATTTCTTGATCTTTTAAATTTAACGTAATTATTACAGAGATTACAGCCAACGGCGTTTAAAAATTTCACGATACTTAAACAATTCGAATAATTATATAGCCTCACTGAACTATATAATTGGTATCTTCCTAAATGTTTTACCTATTTTAAAGATAATGCTAACTAATTTTCAAAAAATACATATTGATTTAAAATTTATATAAAAAATAATTTGTAAATGCTATTTCGGGAAATGAGTAAGAATAAATATTGGTTTTGCTTCACCATCTGACCTTCGATGTATTTTAATATCATGTGGTAGACCTGGTAACGGCCTAGCAATAAGCAAATCCTAAATTTGGAGTATGTATTAGTTATGCGGCTAATGCATTCATTAATAATATTATTATCTTCAAATTTTACCGTTATTTAATTGTTTAGAAGCAAAATAGACTAGAATTTGATTTTTAGTTAAGTTTCTGTTAAGATTTTGTTGTGGAATAACTTTGAATTAGGCTTTGAGAGTTCAGAACCTACAGCTAAACCTTAGAATATCTGATCTATCAAATAAGTTTTGTGATTCAAAATGGCCCCCTTGGAAACTACCAAATTTTGTGTCAAGATAATAATAAAACCGCCCCCCCCCCTCCCCACAATTTCTATTACAGATCAACCCAATTTGTCAAATTAAGAAGTCTTTACTAAAAAAATTTGCTGTATAGCCATAGAAATAAAACTCAGTCATCTTATTCGTGTTCCAACATTTACAATCGGATCGCGTTAAGTCTTTTGGTTGTCAATCCTTCTGTTTTAGGTACCAAGGAGCAAAAACTTTTCAAATATCTTAACAAATTATTGTGGCTTTTACGTTTTGTAGTATGCAATAATGGATGAAACAAGTGCTAATGAATTTGATGTAACGGAACCTATTAAGGAACCCTCAATAAAAGAAGGCACAGGATCCTCGCTCTCTACTAAAGCAAACAGTGAAATCACTTCAAAAGAATCTATTTTAAAGCAAACGTTAAAGGAACTAAACCCCTTTCATCTGCCACATGAATTTAGATCACTGCCTAGAACTTTCGACGCAGAGGATTTCCAATTTCCTGCTTCTTACAGAGAGAATACAAATAAAGAAGATTGTCTACTCGCCTATGCCGACAATTTTAAGCGACAATATAGCAAGCGCTTTCCTCAACGCACTCCACTCTTCTTGGCACCTAGAAATGAACTGGATGTGCGAAAATTCGTCTGCACCACCATTCGACCTACAAAACTACCCTTTGCTGCGCTCCATGACGCATCTGGTGTGGCTTCCTTCATCGCAGATTTCCTCCAAATATCCCCTCTTCTCCCTTGCAACGAGCTTCCTCAACGTCTAATGAGCCCTAGCACGACTCTCTCATTACAAGCTGGAACCTGTTTCGATTACTCTACTCTAATCTGTTCCCTTCTTATTGGTGTAGGCTACAACGCATATGTTGTTAGTGGATATGCTACTAGAGAGTGTTGCTTGAAGGACGAGTCTAGAAAAGAATGTCCAATTCTCATTGAAAAGCCTAAAGAAGTGGAAATGTACGATCCCCCTCCAGTGAGAAAGTACCAGGTCAAATCCATGAAAGATTTTGTTTCCAAGTATGAAATGTCAATGAAGATGAGAGAATTGATTGAGTCAAAAGAAGCAGAAGAAAAGAGAAAGAAGGAGGAGAAAGAGCAGAGAGATAAGGCTGAAGAACCCTTTCCAGATCCTCTCTATGGCCTACGAGTTCATTCATGGATTTTAATTCTACCCGGGAGTCGAGATGTCAAAGAAGCCTTTTTTATAGAACCATTTACCGGAGAAATGGTTGCACTTAAAACAAACATGTACTTGGGCATAGAAGCCGCCTGGAATGATAAAAATTTCTGGGTTAACTTGCAAGATTGCACAAATGGAATTGGTAATATGCGATATGATTTAAATAAACTGGAGGATTGGGAATTCCTGCTTCCTTTTGAATTTATGACCGAGGAACAAATTTCTAAATTGGATGATAGAGTTCCACTTGTAGAAAGTCCTGTTTCGTGGACTCTTCCAATATCTCTTACTAATGTTCAGTACGACCAACGTTACCCTAATTATCAGAAAAGTGTAATATATAACCGAGTCAGGTTAACGAAATATTCACCGTATTCTCAAAAGGCCAATTTAATTACCAAGATAACAATCTTCAATGACAGAGATCTTAAAGATCCCATTGAAGAAAGAGAATATTTTGATCGTAGGAAAGATAGACTATTATCGAGAATAACAGATTTGAAAAGGGGTTGGATAAAAGAGTCATTTGATCATGGAAGAATGAACGATCAGCTGAAGGGACATTCTTATCTAATAGATGGTCACGAAGTAGATGATACAAGAATAATGGAATTCTACCCGAAATTAAGGATAGATGGACTGGCAAAACACGAACGAGACGGACCCATAATGAAAGAATGGTACGAGAATAGGGATGATCGTCTAATCTATCGAGAAACGCGTTTTGGACGAACGGTTAGGAAGTATGGACCTCCAGTAATAATCCAGAGCGGATCTCAACGAGAATCAGTCAATGAGTCAAGAACCACAAAAACAAGTTATAAAGAGATTGAGATGTGAGTAATGAGTCTGCTGGCATTATTTAAATGGAGATCTATGGATTCAATCCGTTGATAATTACTTATTTCAGCATTAAAGAACGCTTCTCAAGGAATCCTGACATTCCAGCCGATGAGGATGTTGAAGAGCGATTTTTTGACATAATTGGAGGAAAATATCACTTGAAATACCATATCGCTGATGATTTTATTTTTCCTTGCCGTAGAGAATTTAATAAGCCAATTTTGACTGATGATGTGAGACAAATAATCGAGCTTCAATCGGACACACATACTGTATTTCATGTAAGTTTTGCTACTTATAAGTTATTAAGTAGAAGGAAATAAACACTATCTAGTCACTTTTAGCCAAAGTTGAATCCACCGCACAAAACTAAAGCGGAAATCTACCAGATGCTACTAGATCTAATAAAGTTAGAAAAGAATGCCAAAGAATCCGCGAGGGCGTCAGAGGCTGAAGCAAAATGCATTCTCAGCTTAAGAGCGTCTGAGGAATCGTACCCAGAACTGGAAGTAGGGCTATGGGACACGTTAAGAAATGAAGAAATGCACAAGTTGAGAATAGAGCTGGAAAAACATGCAAAAATGGAACTCAAGCACAAAAAGGAGACGGAATTAGATTACCTCACTCCATACTTGGATATGCTTGATTTAGATGGCGATAATTTAACTGCTGAGGATGCTAAAGTGCTTTGCAACGCATGTGAAGATGACTTACAACAACGTCTGTCTAGGCAGGGAGCCAAACTTCAAGCTAGATATGATGCTGAAAAGAACGATTTTCAAGAAAAACGAAAAGCAATTGAGTTGAATCAAGCGGATCTCACTAAAGATGAGGAGGCAGAATATTTGAAATACTGCCATGATACTTTGATACGACTAAGCACACTGGAGGACTTGATCAAAGTTCATACAGAAACCACCCCTGAAAAACTCTCGTCACTCCAACACAAACTTCGATCAGATCCACGCCTGGCTCGTGTATTTGAGAACACTATTCAAGAGCAAGTTGGCATCTAAATATTTGCCTAATTTTTATGATATTTAATTACCGGAAATATATCTGCCTGAACAATATGACTTCGAAATGACTCTCACCTAAAATTAGCGTTGTGTACCAAGCGGCTCCTGAAATAAGTGACCTCACCTTTGACATTAGATTTTAACCCCAAAAGCACCCTAATACTTTACCAGGTGATGCAAACCTCAAACCCAACAGAACCAGCACGTGGTTATCTCAAAGTGGATACCTTCCTTCCCTTATTCCCAGGACAACAGATTTAAATTGATTGATTTCAGGTTAAAGCAGCCCTCAAAGGAAAAATTCAAGATAGGCACATATATGTATGTAATACAACTCTTGTTATTCTACAAATACATTTGCAAAAATCGTTATCTTTTTAATATCCTAGCATAAGCGCAGGTAGAAGAGGCACAGCAAGAGTAGAGGCAACGATGAGACCTATATAAGTAGGAAAAGCGATTTAACAAAAAGCAAGTGAGATGTGAAGGGATGAGATGCACGAAACTTACTTGATGCAGATGTTGAAGTTGTAGTATCTTCCGCAAGGGGCATTGGGGAACTGGTTTCAAGAGCCTCTGTGGAACCTGCAGACACTTCACTTTCCTGTCCTGGTGCATCACTAAGAGGCGCAGCAGACTCGTCAGCAGACTCAGCAGGCTCCGAACTCGCCCGAGTCACAATGGCAAGACACAAGACGAAAAGGACCAAAGCGCGCACGATGGAACACATAATTTAATTTAATCTCAAAGCCGAGTTCATGCCATTTATAAAAATGGGTGATTAGCCACTTAAAGTTAAGTTTGTTGTTGACTGGTTAAGACAGTTGATGTGAGAGGTTAGTTCAACCATTCAGCGATGAAATTAAAACTACAAGTTGGTGCTGGTGTATAACCAGGCCTACTATTGGCCAAAATTGAAGGTGCAAGGACTCGAAAAATCAATTTACAAGTGTGAACATCAATCATCGCTGAAGCTCTAAAACCGTAATCATAGGTACGGAATCCGGTTGGCCGCATAAGATAGGGCAATTTTTTGCCATTGAACTCTACCAGAACTCGGCCTAATCTATAATTTTAATTCTTTTTTTTTCCAATTTATCCCTTATTTATGAAGTGTTGCATGCAAATCGTAACTCGGTAAAATTTCTGGCGAAGGTTTAGCTCTGATCGACATTAATTAATATGAATCTTCGAATTCCAACGCAGTACATCGCTTCCAACTACCAAGGCTTTACTTCGCAATTAGTTAGCCCAGTTGCTAACTTAGAACCTCCAAGAGGTTTACTTATCATTTAAATTCAAAAAAACGTACCCACTTACTTAAGTTAAGATATCCCACCTACCATTAAATTTGGAGAATCAGTAACCAAAGTCACAACTTTAGTTGGCACCAAATCGTAGAACTGCCGAATTGTAAGTGCCAATGAACCGGAGCCAGATTGTAGAGGTTTAGAATAGAGCACAAATTGTCCCATGGGCCAAAAGGGGGTAATCGATAGTGAGAAAGAAAAATGTGGGGGAGGGGGGTTGGTGGTAGATGAGATGGTTTGTCCTTGTGTATATATATCGAAATACCTGGGCAGTTAAAGTGAGTCATTTGGGCAATGGCACTGGTGAGGTACGAGGGCAGTTGCACTTTTAAAACAAACGAGACGTGAATCGATGAGCTCGTCTAAACAGGGCCATAATGGTCCCAAATTCACGCGGGGGGGGGGGGGGTTAGCACAAACAGCCATTGTCTTATTTCCTTCATTTGGACAAGTCTAAACCGAAAAAAATTAATCGCACAAATTTTTAGGCTAATATTCCCTTTATCACTGGAATTACATTTATAGTTTTCGTGCTTGGGTGTATTAAAATGACAGTGTCAGAAGTTATAAACATTTTTCACCTTGGCTTGGAAATGCGATTCTCATTAGCTCTAAAGAGCTCTGGAGAGCAAGCTACCTGCATTCTTTTTATCATCGACGATTTTTGTAGTTCCAATTGATGTCCCCCCCTAAATCCTATGGGACGCAAAGCCTTCGTCATTAATTCATTACATTTTCTACGAACGTTATTTTTGATAGCGAAAAAAATTCGCGTTTTTTGTTATTCTTTTGTTGAAGTACCAATTAAGAACTCTCATTGAAGTGGAAGGTAAAATTAAAAATGTGATTCCAATGCAGGTAGACACTCCTTTATGTGGCAAATGGTTTAAATAAGTATTATTTTAGTGAAATAAAATGAAATTCGTTTCCGTTAGCGGCTAATGTCCTAAAGTACTTCTATGCATGGATACCTGAATAAAATTGAAAATTAGCTGCAAACATGAAACGTAATTTATTATGCCTCAGAGGGTGTAAACACGTTGTTAAATAGTTACCTTTCAGAGTTTCGTTTCAAATCAATACATTATTCCATTTGTGAGGCTCTTTGAATGCTCTGGGATGCCATGGGGAAACAAAAAAGGTACCCCCCCCCCAAAAAGATCGAAATCGTCAGGAAGAAGTTTTGTAGGCAAAGTTTTGCTGATGTTGGTTTTACACAAGGAATTGACATAAAAGCCCAACCTTATTCAACATTCAATAAAGGTTCAAGTGTTGCAGACACTAGACATTTTTATAAATATTCCACTTTCAATGCTTAAAGTGCATTTTCTACAGGGTTCCTTAAATTAATAAATATTATCAAAAATTGGCGCAATTTGAATAGATCCTCCTTTCTCTGAGTTTGTTGAGCACCCAGTGAGTGGAGTGTCCAACCTTAGTGGTTAAATCTCACTAATAACGGAGATGGTAGAATTTGAGTTTCGCGCCAAAAGGACCCAATGAAGCTACTCCAACACCCAGGAGGTGCGTTAGAAAAAAACGCTTTCTCTAGGAGCCTTTTGCTTATAGTATTGCAGTGATGGAAGCCTTTCGTTAACGATTTATCATGGCTCAACTATTTTTTCCGCCGTCATTTTGCATTTAGAGAAGTCGTCAATAGGAGACATGTTCTTTTCTAAATATTTCTCAACTGGTGAACTGGTCGGCTTAAAAATCAATAGTAGTCAAGTTTTGTGTTGCCTCAAGTCCCGAGTTTCAGGACTACTTTAAGCTATACCACCTGACAGGCCTGATAAGGAAGAAGTCTATTTTAGAGGAATCAATTAGAAAAAATCTCCATTTTTCGAGAAAGTGTCACATTATAAAAGAATGTGTTAAAAAAACAAATTACTTAACACTGCAATGTACGCCAAACCAGTCGACAATTGAGATTGTTAGTTAGATAAAATTGGAAATTGGACTTAGTTTCAGGAAATGTAATTACCTCAGAGTGTCCCCTTGTCATGAAATGATTCAATTAAAGATCTCCTGGCTATCTTCTTAAGGTGCAGATCGCCAAAGGTACTAATTCAAATTAAATGAACCAAGTCGGGAAATATGAATATGTTCTCTCGAATGTGTTTCATGCACCTTTACCTGAAGGACACTCACAAATCGGCTCATAATGACGCAATTCATTCAAGCGTTTTGTTCATTCTTCAACATTTTCATATGCGAAGGCATTAGAGTAAATGGTGTGCCTGGTGCATTGACAGGAACAACACAGTACTAAAGAAATTAAATTAGGATTATTGACGTTTTCGTAAACTTTTCGTCTTGTTTTTTTTAAATTTTACTAAGCATTTTCGAAACTTATCGATTTATCGACTACGAGTAGGCTGGCGAACACCAGTGTTTTTATTGCATGTTTAGAAGAGCAAACATTGAGCTGATTGTGCTTTTAATTAAAATTTTACCAAGATTTTATTGTTTACTGCAAAATCGGAGTCGAAAATGAATTTCAGTTACAAATTTAAACATGCCACTGGTGAAGACTAAAATCGTTTTGGCCTTAGGATCAATTGTAGCGTGGAGATTTAGAGCATTTCAGCAGTTGGCAAAAGGGTGTATCCAAAAAATTACCTCAGGAAGCAAGATTTCGGCTTTATAAGAATTTGGGGGTTAACAATGAATTAGTTGTGTAGAGAGTAGTGGGTCATCACAAACCTAAAAGAAAAAGTCATGGCCGACCAATTCAGGAACATTTGGAACATTGTGGTCTCTATGCTGCCCAGGGTACTGTGAGAGATGGCGGACTTAGTTCTAATAGGAAGTATGAAGACAGAGAGATGTCAGGAAATGAGTGAGGCACTTTCGAGTAAGAGCTAGAAAGCCCAAACACTGGGGGGGAGGGGTTTGCTGGGCTAGACAATAGCAACGAATGGGAGGGGGGGGGGTTATTACAATGACACTGAGCGGATTACATATGGTGGTGGTGGAAGGTACTGAAATTTGCCGAGACCGACCACCAATTTGGGTTGGCATTAGACACCAAACATCGACTGAAAACGGATTGCAATTTAGTGCTTAACTAGTCCAATTTTATAGTATGTAGATCAACTCAATTTTATTGGTTTGAAACACTTTTACCAACATTTACTTCAATCGATGTCAAGAAGAGTAAATATGGAATTAACTAAACAAAAAATTTTTGTATACATCCCGATCGATTACTAATTTAACTCATGAAACTTCGAAATTTCAGTTCCTCAGTGAGAGAAAAAAAATTTTGAAAAAGAATGGCATCGCTATAACCCCAAATAAAGCACAAATTATTAAGTTACTCAAAATAGAATGCCTAAAATGGAACACCTTAATTTAACTTAGTTTGTTATCATAAAATTAACCACCTAAAAAATTCGATAAAAAGAATATCCGAGACTACGAATTGTAGCAGTTAAGAGTGCATGCTCTTATCGAATTCCGATAAATACGAACACTAACCGCGCAAATCCTTTCTTGAACGCGTTAGTAATGAGCGAAATCACCTTTCTCCGCGTTTTCCATTAAGGTTGCCCTAACATGAGCCATATTGGTTATGGCTGCGATAAACTCAAAATTTGCCTTGCATTAAAGGTCAAATATGGGCTTTTGTTCTAATTCTGAGAGAGATTTGCTCAAGCATAAGGGGATTACAACACATAACCCTGGAGACATAACCAACTGAATCTCTAGGGGAGGACGAGGGGGTGGGGGGATTATACGAAGCGATGAGTCTTGGCAAAACCCTCTTGTACGAAATTGCGCCCGAAATGTGCTTAGCTGCCTCAATATTATCGAACAGACAGAGAATTTGGCGTGAATAACGTTTATTGTGTTAGCGTGTTACAGTCACACGGCTTGGACATTGAAATGCGATTAAGTTTATTAGATAAATCAGTAACTATTGATTAGTGGTTGGCTGATGGGTCACCACGCTCACGATCGCACTTGCTCTCGACAAGATAAAATGTTTGGTTTCGCAAGAGATCTCCTCGTTGGGCCATGATAGCGTTGTACACTCTCGAGATCAATAAGTAAATCGTCATAGTGAAGTTAACTTCTTTGTTTAATGTTCCCTAGGCCATCAGATAACCAAAAATCGAAGAAATTCTAACTGCGGCGCTTTTAAAACCACTTTCAAGGACGAGACGAAGCATCTTTTGACTAGATCACATTCTAGTGTGTTATGTAGTGAGTGGGTGGAACTGCAAATAGCGGAAAGTCGGACATAAGTTGGCTCAAAAATTTGACCATCATTCTTGGAAACCTTCATTATTGAATTTGTAGTGGCTCAGATGTCATCGCATTTCTCAAACCATGGAGGTCGAAAGTGCGAGGATCTACAATCCGAAAAAAACGTAGAATGAAACATAAATCATGGATGATATTTTTAGGCAAA